TGTTGTGAGGCACGTAATCCAGGAGGACTTTATTAACTTCAGTCAGGAGGTCAGAAAGTTCGTGTCATCGTCTTGTCAGCGGACTATAAGTTCGATCGTTTATAGTGAATTTTGACGGGCAAAGTGCACGGAGTTTTTATCCAGTTGGGTTTCTCCGTGAACATTCCGCCTGTTTTTTTTTACTACTTTATTTACTGTTTTCATATTCTGCAGTATTCGAACATAGGGTAATTGGACTCTATGCTTAACCATCTACAGATAATTAATTAGAGGCTTGTTGCTGGTTAATTATAATTTTTAATTCCGCATTTACACCTATCCACCCCCTTTAGGTATAGTTTGTGTCGAACTGCGTAAATTTCAGATACCATTTGAAATAATGAGGTTTGACCTAACTAACACCTATATGGGTGAATATGTGTTTATGTGGAATTAAAATTAACAATTAATAAGCAACAAGTCACTTTTAATTGTTTCTAGATAGTTAGCCAATCAATTCAATTCTTCTATGGTTTGAATGCCGTAGTTGTATAGAAAGCAGTAAATAATGCAAAATATGATGACGAAGAAACCCGGTAACTGGGCAAAAAATCCTGGCACAAGCCTGTAACAATCCATTATAAACGAATCAACTTACAGTATTGTCAACCTCGACTAATTCTAGCACTTTCTGACCTCCTAACTGTAATCACCAAAGCCCTCCTAGATTGCGTGCTCCTGCAGCAACTCCCGGCCTTCTGAATTCGACTATCTCCTGTAGATTAATGAGAACTCCTTGTTCTCCAACAACCAGAAACTCCGGTCACTTTCCTTGATCTTCAGAACTCTAATAGATTTATGGAAGTAAGTGTTTTGGTGTTTGGTTTATGTGAGGTTGATGTTTTTCACAGCAATTATGAAATCAATATGACGGTTCAACTCTAGGAATAATGTTAAATGATATGGAGGATGCAAAACTTTGTTTCTCTCAATGTTCAACCTGTATTTTTCGAATGGTGGTGTCCATATATATAATGAAGAGGTTTTGGGTAGTATGGGCCGGATAAAAACCTTGAAAAATGCAAATTAGGTTTTCCCGAGATACATCGTCGCTCGAGCGAGAGCTCGACGACAGGCGAACGACGGTGTGTCGTTCGAACGAAGTCCAGGCGACGCAGCTTCTGTTTTTATCTCTCGAGCTTCAGCTTGGCGATGGGCTAGCGAAAATACGACGACTTTTATTCCTTGATTCCTTACTCAAACCCTAAGACTTCTAACTTAATACTTGACACTTTGACTTTTAAAAACTCTTTAACAACAATAGGTTTGTCAATAGATTGCCAACAACTTTAAAACCTAAAACTCTTGACCATACCTACCAAAGGTGCCGCATTTCTAAAGCTTGGAAGAATTAACATTCAATATCAAGGGCTAGAGGTGTCAGACGGACGGGTCGGCCAGATCCGTGAAAATCGGCCCGGATCAACTCGGGACCACGGGCCAACCCGTGACCTAAGCGGGCGGTTCACGGGTTAAGGAAATGTGGCCCGCGGGCTTCGCGGGTTGCACCTTCACGGGCCGCGGTTAACCTGCTGGCCCGTGAAATTTTTTTTTTTTTAAATTTGAAAAAAATTGGGGGAGCCCCAACTAGTTGGGATGTACTTGAATTATAAGTTATAATAAAAGTAGGTGCCAATCTAGTTGGAATGTACTTATATTATAAATATTTGATAATAGTAATTAGAAATGCATTTAGTTGTTATTTGTTTAAGTTAAATTTAACTTCGTAAAGTTATAAATAATTCATGTAGCATTAAATTTGAATTCTACGAGGGAGTGGAGAGGAGGAAAGTATCAATCCTTGCATTCTTGACCTTAGTAATAGAAATAACAATACTCACCTAATTGAAACAAGATGAATAGGTACTAGAGGTGTCTATGTAAAAAGGCCATGAAGCAAATATCCAAAGGCTTGGCAAGGCATGAATTCATTTATTTAACAATTTTAAGTGTCTTTCGGGAAACAATAATATTAATCACTCAAATATGTGGTGGTGACAAACTATTGATTTTATTTTTTATTCTTATGTCTATCCAGACACATTATTTAATTTATATTGTCGTAGTCAAAATTTATTAACGGATAACTTGATTGACGACAACTATATTGAAAAGTAAATTCAGAATAGCAAAAGAAACTTGTTGCGAAGGGGATAAATTCCTTCAAAAGTCTAAATAATTGTCTACTGAGTTATATATATAATTCGATAAAGGTGAATTCTATTTGAACATAATTCATTGGGTTCATTAGGTGCATTGACACGTAAAATTTTCATAAAAGAATACATTTTGGGCAGAAATACTTTAAAAAGTAAGAAATTTTTGTATAATTACTTGATTCAGCATTCGAGTTTCCCATACCAAAAGGTCAAGATTTCACGTGCAATTCCCTCTTAAATCAGATCAAATGTGAAAGAAACAAGCAATATTTACCATATTCATCAGCAAGACCTCCGTGACACTGACACTACCGTCCAATATCAGGCATGCTCTTCTCGAAAACATCATAACAATGATTTTTAAGACACGTTAGTAAAGTGAATTACCTACCTATAATTAGACAGTATTAAGGACGAAAAAATGCAGTTCAATCGAGTACTACGTAACAAATATGTTTTAAGAGTAAAAATTTGGAGTGATCATCCATGAAAATTTCGAATCCTAACTCGTGTTTGACCAAAATAATTAAGCAAGACCTAGTTTTTTTCTCCAACTTGCCCCCGTTTGGCACCCATTATTTAATATTATAATTTTTGAAATAGTGATTTTTTGAAGAATTGGTGATTGAAAAAGAAAGAAAAATTTTCGATTTACATGTAATATTATTTTATTGTAAAATGTGTGATTAAAAAAATAGAGAGAAAAATGTATTATAATTTTAATGGGAGCTAAACGAAGACTTAATAGAACTTCACTTTTACGTAAATGTCGAGCTTGAACTTGAGCGTTTTTCTAGCAGTAAACAAGCTTGAATTAAGATTCAAATTCGAGCGAGATCATAGCTTTACTTGATTTTTATCTATTTTAATAGGAGAGTGAATATAAAATTTAATAGATTAAAATTTTAAATAAAATTTAAACTTGAAACTTATTAAGTAGTTGAGATAACTAGACTTGTCGAATATTTGAGACCAATAAATTGCATGTTCAAAATTGCGCTGTGTCTAAGCACATGCTTGTTGAGACGATTTTGTATTTAAATGAATCTATAATTTAATGTCATGTAATTGTCAGATAAATTGAAGCTCAAGCCAAAGACAAATTCAGCATGGTCCCTTGATTGGCTATATATTTATTTCGTGTTCCTTGAATAGTATTAAATAATAATAAATTATTACGAGTTGAATTTTCATATCAAACTTGCGTTTAATCGAAAGTCACAATCTCCATTCGTCGGCCAAATTAATGTGGCTTCAATGGCGTGAAATTCGAGATTGATGGCATCAGAAATGCATAGAAAAGGTCAACATTATGCACTTATCTTTATCAATGCCTTCGAAGAAAATTTATTAGAATAATGGCGGGTTCCATCGTGCTTAAAATTTAATTAAAATTAAAAATATAATCGTTATTTGATCACACTATGTTTGATTGGAATTAAAATTTAAAATCAAAATTTTAGTAAATTTTCATAAAAATTGATAAAATATGTGGTTGACCAATTGGGATCCATAAGATATATAGTTAAAATCAATTGTTGACTTTTTCTTAAATTAAAATTTAGATTTTAGTTTCTACCAAACAGGTTGGCAAACTTTCAAATATACAATTTTCATCTTTAACCATTTGAACTTTCAGATGAGTTGATTTAGGATCCCACTTTTTCACAATTCATTTCTTTCAATCTCAATTTTAATCATACATTTCATGTGACTTATAACTTTTATTAGTTTTTTAACAATACATTTCACAAACTTTTATGTAGGTCACATATTAAAGGAAAAGTTATATCCTAACTACAATGAGAGAGCAAGTTAAGATAAAAATAATTAAAATTCTTCTCTCATACCATACAAGGTCTTGGACAATTTTTTAATACACCGATCAAAAATTTTAAAAGTTCATGACTAAGCTACGACGAGTTGATTTAATCAATGACCACTAAACTTTGTTGTGGTTACCACTTGATCATCGATTTTTAAAAAGTTACTCGTTATTCACTAAACTTTGTTATATGTTACTGTTTGTTACTGAAATTCAAAAGTTTATTCGTTGCTCACCTAAATTTGAATAAAATTATTTGTTGCTCACTAAATTTTGCTATAGGTAACAATTATGGAAATGATACAAGTGGTAACTTTATTCAAATTTGAATGAGCAACGGGTAATTTTTTAAATTTCGATTAGCAAGTAGTAACATACAGTAAAGTTCAATGAGCAAACGGTAACATTTTGAATTTCGATGAGCAGGTAGTAGCCTATACCAAAGTTCAGTGACCGTTGATTAAATTAACTCGAGCTATGGCTGCAATGAATGAGTGAAGAAGCGCATGCTTTTAGATGAAATGATTTAAGTTTTAACTTGATGAACATATTTGCCCCTCATTGGTGTAGTAAGAAATTAGATTTTTATAGATTTTGATAAAAAATAATGAAATGTATATCAAAGTCGGGGATTCCACAAAAAGCTATGTTAAAATTAATTATTGTTTTTGACTTAGATTTTTAGCAAATTTATAATTTACACCAAGCATAGGCTTAATATGCATAAAAGTGATGGAAGCAAAGATGGATTGGTTAAAAGAGAGCTTCAAATAACAGTCCATTAACAGATAAATCAGATCTGATGTGTAATCAAAGTTACAGTGTTCAAAGAAAGAAGCTGTAGAGAGATCCAACTTTTTGGAAACCTAGAACAAGATTAGTTTCAAAGACTGATCCTATCATTTTTGGATCATAGTTACTTCATAGAATAAGCTACTCATCTTGCAACTTAATTGCATATTTTGACTGAAAATGAGCTAGAATATTGGTGGAAGTCCCATAGCTTCTTCTCCTTCATGATTTGCAGATTCCTCCAGCAGCCAATTCTCAAGAAATGATAAAGGAAGATTGTTTTCCATCTTTGGCTTCTGCTCATGCACAACTAAATTAACTTTTTCTTCATCACTTCCACTTATTTCAGAGCCCTTTTGACTAGAATCCCAAGTTGACTTGTCACAGGCCAATCCATTTATGTTTTGATCAAATGACAAAATTGATTCAAATTCAATACTTGGAATTATTTTATATCCCTCTTGCTTATCAACCCTCAGTCTGTAGTAATGAAATGATTCTGCAGTAGGAGTAGTAGTAGTAGTAGTAACCTCACAACATTCAGCAGTAGGATTGTTTAGAGGACTGATCTTTGGGGATGATTTCATCCATCCTTCGAGTAGTCGGGATATATTCTCTGCGCTTGAGGCGTATATCGAATTTAAGTTTTCGGTTAACCTGACATCGCTTGACGAGTCATACCGGCTGCTACTGTTGAGGACCTTTTCGTTATAACTCGTGGACAGAAATCGATAAGTGGTCAGATCAGATGCCAGTTGTGTATCCAAACCTGATTGAAATTTCTTGATCTTTTTCTTTAGATGAGTGTTCCAGTAGTTTTTGATATCATTATCTGTTCTTTGTGGAAGGTATGAAGCTATAGCTGCCCATCTGTCCGAAAAACAAAACTATAAGGCGACGATGAACACTTCCGTATAAGAAAAAGAAGTATCCTGTGCTAATTACGAAATCAAATCAGGAAAATATCGTGAAAATCGAGAGAGGTTTGAAGATTTTAAACATTACTTGTTTCCCAATAAGGCTTGGAGATGGATTATCATCGCCTCTTCATGTGGAGTGAAGTACCCCCTCTTGATTCCAGGTCTCAAGTAATTAGTCCACCTAAGCCTGCAACTCTTGCTGCACCTCAACAAACCTGAACAAGCAAACAACTTTGATACATTACAATGTATAACAAGATCAAAACCACACACACATAACTTACAACTAAACTGTTTTTCTATACGCACTTCAAAATTCTACACTAAAGAACGAAGATCCAAGAGTGGAAGATACCGGCGTTGGTAGGTACTAATCGCCAATTCCCCAGACCATGTTCTTGTATGTAGGAAATTAAAATGATATCTTCCTCAGGAGTCCATGGACCTTTCTTGATACCGACTTTATCGCAGCAAGGAGGCCTTCCCATTTCGTCTCTGTAAGTGTAGGGAGTGGGAACTTGTGAAAACTTCTCTATAGTGACGAGAATCTGTGTAGAGATTAAATACAAGGTCTTCTTGACCTGGCCAGGTTTTAAATACTAGTAAAAAGTCTAAGGTGGATCCCCCAAATGATAAGGGAAAGTTTAAATGTTTCTATCTTTTTATTATTATTATTTTTTTTTCTCTTGAAGGGATCACGTGGAGCTCTTTATTTTGCTGTCCCCAAACTGAAACTTGCATCCGATGTTAATTTGAGTTTGATTGTCTATGGGTTAATTTCACAAATGGTNGTTCAATATTGATATACTTATCATCGTTTTATCAAAATCTAAATATTTGGCGCAACAGATTGAATTAATACATATATCACTTTAGTCCCCCAATTTTCTAAAATATAAAATATAACATCTAGAATAATTAAATTTTATTCTATGAAATTTTCGGGGCTCTAACAAAACCGTCGTTGCAGCACTGTGATGAGTCGTCAGAGTGTTTACATGAGGAGACACCATAGTGCGTTCTGAGTGGTACTTGACACACGCACATTGTGAGTGCTGTTGCGCAATGGCAACTACTGTGGTCATCGACGGTAGTCTTCCATGTGATAAAGAGAAAGGGTAGATGCTGCAGCGGCAACGGTGACGGTGCTCTGATGGTTCTGCACACGATGAACCAGCGATGGTTCTACTACTGTGAGGCACCGTTGCACCTGGTTGTGTGCAGCAGTGCGTCGATCATGCTGCGACCGCTAGAGTCACCTTCTACCTATTGTCGTCGAAGTATGTGAGTTGTGATTTAGGGACTTTTAAGATTTGGATGGTTGTGATTTAGAGAGAGAAGAAGTTAGAGGACATTGAATATTATTAATATTAAAGATTTGAATTAATATATGATTTTTGTATAAATAAACTTTAGATCTGATTTTTTAAATTGGATCTTAAAAAAAATCTGGTTTAGTGTAATTTCCACAAAATAAATTGTGCCACAAACATGATTTAGTTGGTTGGGCTAAATTACCTCAAGACACATTTATGGACGGACAATCAATTTTTGATTGAGAAATCAAATATGTCATCTACTACTAGCATGTTTCATTTGTCGTTTTCAAGTCGTTTTCTGTTTTCGATTTTTCAAAATAGTGAAAATGCGTTCTCTTTCCTATTTTTCAAAACGTGTTTTTGAAAACAAAATTTTTTTTTTATTGAAAACAGAAAATGACATTTCCACCGTTTTGAACGTTTTCTG